CCTCCAGGACCACCAGGTCCCGATGGACCACCTGGACCAGACGGACAAGCTGGTCCAGACGGACCCCCAGGACCACTTGGTGAACCAGGTATCAACGGACCACCAGGTAAACCTGGAGCTGATGGAGAGACTGGACCACAGGGTGATCGCGGACCATCCGGCTCATGCGACCATTGTCCGCCACCACGTACCGCCCCGGGTTATTAAACGAGAGATTCTATTTATAGTCTTGATAGATCGAGACTGTTTATTAAAGTTTTTGCAGTTGATGAAAATGGGTTTCATTTTGCTTCGTATTTGCCCTAGGAAAGTACTTACTGCGAAACATAATTTGATTATTTAATGCTTTAGTTACGCTTAGATATTGTTATTGCAATGAAGGATAAGAAATGTTATGGTTTTAAACGTCATGTTTTCAATTGAATGGTCGATGCTTTTCTTTAACAGAACTTTATGAGCATTTGAACAACTCATTCAAAGAATGTGACTTTCTTTTGTTTAAGGAAAAAAACAATTTCACCAGCATTCCTATTGAGTTTCTCATGTTGAGTGTAATTGAAGTGTTTGAATTGAGCATTGAAATGTTGTGAACAGGCGTTCGTAAACATTGAAATGTCATTTTTTTACACCCTACATTGTATAATTATTTTCAACTAAGTCAGTAAACCGTTATAACGCACATTTTTTTTTGTCTTTACACTCTGTTATAATATAGCCAACTATCTGAGCAAACAAATGATTACTTGCTAATGATGATGATGATAGTTGAAATAAATGTAAAAAAAAATTTGATGTCAGGAAAAATGTTATTGAGAAATCTGTCAAGTTGTGCAAGAAAACAAAAAACTTCCTATTTTATTGTTCCTTTTGGCAACAGCAATTTTTTTCCGCCCTCTAATCTTGTTCTCTCTGTTGTTGGCTATTGTTACTTTTATCATAGTAAATCTCTTTTGGATTCAATGATACTTTTAATTGCTTATTGTCTCTTGTTCACACACCGAACGACAATACATTAATTAACATCCGGTAATTTAGCCAAATGTTGACAACAACAAAAAAAAAGCAGCAAAATCTATTTCTTAGTATTTTGCGGTATCTTATCCTAAAAAATCAGAATTTAGTACAACAATCCATACTTTATTGGGATAAAATTTTGCCATTGTTTTCCTCAATGCGAAATTAGAAATTGAAGGAAAGAAATATGGTGAAAAACCGTATAAAACAAGCTGTTTGTTGTTTGACCAGATTGTACAGCAGATTTGGTAACTGGCGATGGAATGCCGTTGTTCGCCCGTTTTCCTCAGCCCCGTCAGTATCGCCGCACGTTGGACATAAATGCATTTGTATAGCTGCGTTTCAACGCTGCTGTCTCAATCATAACTTTCTTCGTTTCACTTCCAAAACTTTTTAACAACATTAGTCCTCTAATTATACAAATAAAATAAAATGACAAATTATTTGGCTGATTGTTTCTTTTTTTTTTTTCTGCAAAAACGACAGCAATAATGATAACAACAACAGAATAAAGCATCATCATTATCGTCTCTCTGAGTGTTGACAGCTATCGGCAGCAGCCAACTATAAAATACACCGAAAATTGTTTGCTTCGAAGGGTCTAAGATAATTTTCTTCTAGTTCTCTTCTTTTTTTTCTCATCTATCTTGTTTTTTTTTGCTTATAGATTAAACAAGTTATATAGATTCATTTAATTACAATTATGCACTCGCTAATGGTAGTATTACTGCCGACAATAAAGGGAACCTCCTTCCCCTCTGTTAATGAATTAGCGAAGAAAGAAAAGAAAAGGCAGTGGCAATGATGAAAATTTCTTTTTTTTTTTTTTTTTATTAGAATGTGTGACGGCCAAATAATAATCCGTTCCATTGATACTGAACGCCGAATACACACCTAAATCATTTGCCGTAACCTTGCAAGAATAAGAAGGAAAAAACAATGAATTTTTTGGCTTTTTCTGTTTCTTTTTTTTTTTTTCAGAAAAACTTTTATTGAACATTTGTTTTTGTCGTCAATCTTTTGCACCCATTTTTTTGCTTTTTTTCCCTTTATTTGAAATTGGAGCTTGAGCAGCGAGAGGTACAGGAAGAAAGAAAAAAATAAATAAACAAGAAAACAATCAAAATGTTTTGAATAATTTCTTTGTCCATAGAACGTACACTTTTTGTATGATAGTGCTGGCTCCAACAACTGAGGACTCTTGAAAGGATCCCGTCAGAAGCTCTCCAGTCTACACAAAAAGTTATAAGTTTGGATAGCTTACTATAGTATTCGGCAGAAAATTTTATGACTGACCATCATTTTTTAGTACTTTGATGTACTATTTCTTTCTTCCTTTTTTTTTCTTGAAATTACAAGAAAGAACTGTGTTCCGCAGTTAGTAGATTATTTTTGATGATTCCTTGGTCAATTCATTTCTTCTGTTCTTTCAACTTCATTCTTTATTCTCTCTCTATGCCCGGAATAATACGCACATAAAAATTTGGATTTAAAGTTACCATTTCCATCAAAATTCTCTTCATGCAGAAAATCCAATAGCCCATGAGAGTCAAAAAAAAAGAAGAGAAAGAGCTGCTGTCAATTTTTATTAAGTTTTTATTCGTTGTTCGTTTATTTATTTATTGCATTTTATCCTATTTCCTGTTTTATTTATTTTGTGTTTCTTTTTTTTTCGTACTGTTTTGTAACTTTTACTTTTTTAGGGCAACCGTCTTCATGTAGCAGAATAGAGTTTTGGTGTGAGATAAAAAGTGAAAGTTTTTTTTTATTTTTTGGTTTTCGCACAGAATTCGGTATGGAAAGGAAATAGCAGAAAAAGAGTTGTGTAACCTCGACGACGACAACGCCGACGACGTTATGACAACTGAGCAATTTTTTTCACAATCTCATTGTTGCTTTATTACACACATACATACACACATACAGTTAATTGGGGGACCATTTTTATGTCTATAGGCACATGTCGGTGTCTGTTTTTCTTCAAGTTTTCTTGTCCAAAAAAAAAATTAGTGAACTTTATTCACCTCATCCACCCTTCCTTTTCTTCTCTTTTTTTTCGCCAACGCCTCAACCTGTAGTTTAGTAG